CCCAAAATCTTACAAGGACGGTATTTATAAACCTTAAACTTGGAACATAAAAGTACCATAACCTCTTACACACATTCGAATGTATTGCAAGATATGTCTCGATTCTTCACGGAGTCTTGAAGTGAGATGGGTATGAGATGGGTATGAGGGATGAGAGATGAAGATTTCAACTTGCGATGGGGATAAGATAGGTAAGTGGGTAGGGTGGTTTTGTTTTGTTTTGTTTTGTGAAGAAGAACGGCAGAGAGTGGGAAAGAAAAGATGACAACGACAAAAAGGATATGCGTAATATCGACGATATGTTTTTATCAAAAATACAACAAGTTTTCGCATATGTCTGTTGTTGTCAAACCCCGCCAATCCATAAGCATTTATTTACACTACTAGCTATGTACATATGGAACAACATAATCCCCCAAATTCCCTCTCAATTTCTATATTTCTCTATCTCTCCTCAGAGAGATAATCGAGCTCAACATCGCTTCACTGGTCCTTCATTTTTGATTGTCTGCGACTTCTCAATACACATAAAGAGAAGAAAAGGATTTAGATGGTAGAATAGTGGGGTTTATATTCCCCTTTCTCTTCTTATTCTCCTCTCGCTTCCTGCATTATGATTCACTTACTCTCTGTCGAGTCTCGCCTTTGGAGTAAGTATGAAGGAGATGCTGGATATTGTATCGAAAATCATGAAGGAAAATGGGATGTGGAATCAATTCCTCACGACTCATGATTCACGACTCACAGATGTTACCATATGACGAGTATGCAATGAATTTCCTCTCCTCTGATCTCAGCCTACGCAGCGGATAGATCCATGAGTGAGTGAGTGTATTTGATTCGAGAGAACTGCTTTCTACAGATCCATCGAATATCTCACCTCCAATTCTCTCCTCTTGATATAGATATATAAAAGAACATCTAGTATTTCATATCTTATATCTTATATACCACACACCACTCTCTGCAATACAAAAGACAAAAGACAAAAACACTCATCCTCAATCCTTAACATTAACATCAACATCAATATTCACTCCATGATAAATCTCATAATGTATTTGAAAACTCCGAAGTTATAGATATTACATTATTATTATCTTACTCTTGAGATCTTTTCGAGATATGGAATTGAGATATGGAACTGTGAGGTTGAAAGATCTAGGAAAGGATTTGGAAGTTTGTTTATTTGATCTTATTATGTGGATTAATGGGATGTGATGGGATATGATATAAGGGGACATGGGAGATGGGATGGATTTTATATTGATAGAATATACATCAGCATGTTTGTATCGTATATAAGTATATGTTTCTAATTAGAAAATCGAGATAATAGATGCGCAATAATAAATATTTAACAATAACAAGGTTTGGGACGGCATGTACAGTATCTTTATCAACAACAGAAAGATTGTTGTAGAGAAAATTGGTATAATTCTATGCTCCATGTAGATGAGCAATGAATATCCGGATTAAAAACTCACGCCAATGATGTATAAAACCCAGAACAGAGTAACAACTTTGTCACCCAGAAAAGAAAATACACTTCACTCAAACATTCAAGAACCAGATAGAAGAATAGATAAATTGACCTCAACAACACCAAAGGCTATCATCCCGAGAAGACTCCAAATCGACCTTTCATACCCCAGACACCTAACCTAACTGGATATCACTTTTCCCATTTACTTTTTGTAACTTCCCTTGAAAACCCTCAAGAAATCATTCTCTCCATCACCCTCATTCCATCTCACAAGTGGTTTCAACCCCGCGAATTTCCAAACCCCATCGACCTTCTTGTAATAATGTTCATTAGTCGCATGACTATGACCCTTCAATTTGATCTCCTTCAAATCCGCATTCTTATACACTTGATGACCAGCTCTCAATTGATGATGACCGATAACATAATCGTCTGAAATCTTTTCCCAGCGGGTAGCACCGAGAAGATGTTGGGTCTTGACGCAAGGATCGCCAAGGAAATCGTCATCGGTTACCATGGCCATGAATTGGGAGGCGGGCATGGCTTCCCAACGGGCTTTACCAATGGTGGTGTAGTCTACGAGGAGCTCGGGTGCGATGATGGATTCGAGTCTTTTCCAGTCCTGTGGGAGTGTCAGAAGATGTGGGGAATTAGGTGGGAGGAAGCATGGGGTTGAGTTACCTTTGCATCGTAGCTGTCACCCCAGTCGAAGACTAATGCTGTGAGGTCGAGGTAGTCTATATCTTGTGAGCATTATTCCTTATCATCAATTTATTGTTCGAAGACAAAAAATAAGATGCTTACCCTCGAATGAGATTCTGCCTTGAGCCATATTGATTGAGGATGTGTTGTTTGTGTAGGTAGATATTGATGTAAATATGAAGACGAGTGTGAATGGAATGTCAAAAGAAAAATTCGAATGGACAACGACGACTCCCACATCATATATGTACACTGCTAGAACTAACGATCCAAGCATGAGCTATCTTGGGCTTGAGTTTCGCGGCACTTCGATTCCTCGCGGCCTCGCTCTTTGGTGAAATTCCTGAGCCCGAGTCCGGCTGCTTGTGCAACCTCCGGGACGAATATGCACGCCATGACCCCTGGTACCTTTTCTTCTAATGGATACAATAAACATTATCCTAGTGATAGTGTGGTAGAATGCTGTCAATACCGAATCTTGTTCGGACTTCCTCCAGTTTTTGGACGGATCTGAAACAACTAAAGCGAACTGTAGAGGAATTTGTTGTTTCTCATCGCATCGCAACAATGGTTGGAGCTCCGTAAGCCAAGGCTGAGATGGTGATGATGAAGTTGATGACGATGAGATTAGTCCGGACTTTACTGGGATCGTGTTACTGCATGTTGTTTTCTGGCTGCATCTCGCAATCGCTTTTGATATTGTTTCATGGTGAATGGCTACTATGCTGATGTTAGATCTGTCAAACTGAATCATGAAGCTATCAATGTCGATCCAAAGACATGGGTTCAAGTGGGGAGTGACCTCAATGTGGGGATGTTTCAACCCTAAAGATAGTAGTCAATGGCCTAGCCAAAGCGGCCCTCACTCAATGCATGTAATAGTACCACCCAACAACTTTGACAATTTCTCGTATTAATTCGGAGATATTTCCCGTCCACCAAACTCAATGGGATTTAGATCAGATGATCAATAACCTGAAAGTAGAATAAGACTTATCGAAGAAGAAAGGATCTAGTTTCTATGAGTGATATGATTGGAAAATGATCAGACCTTCAGCTTGCAAAGCCTTCGCTTACCTGGCTACCCTAGTCAGTGAGCGGACTACACTTGATCCTACTACCAAAATCCGTGCATTGCCGTGCGGAGAATTGTTGAAACATATTATCAACAATTGTCATGAATATAAATTGGGCGTAAATTGTACAGTTATGATTGTTTGGAGTTGGCGAGTTATTGGGCCCTGCCTTGTGTTGATACCCTATCGGGTAATAGTGATGATCTGTAATTCGTTCTTTTCTTATTCTCATCAGCGATTCATCGCATCGGAATTGCATGGGTGTCAGTATACACAGGAATTTCAAACTGCACGAGCACTGCCTATGGATGGAATGGAAGCCTCTAAAGCCTCGCCGCGTTCTTATGTACGCCCGAAGACCGAGAGGTCCGAGGAGCTGTCGTGGCCGGGTTTGTCCAGTGATATAAGATGTTCATTGCCCAGTTCAATATACAACTTCATTTATCGTTCCACGCTTTATATTTCTGTATAATCTTTCTTGCATCTTTTGTACTTTCATATCATATACCCATTCATACGTTACGTTAAATATTTATAAAAACATAATGTCTGCATCACCAGCACCATTCAAGACTCTTGAGGGAAAGGTCGCCCTCGTAACAGGTTCCGGTCGTGGAATTGGTCGAGGTATCGCTCTTGAGCTTGCTGCCCGTGGTGCAAGCGTTGTTATCAATTATGCCAACTCTGCCGGACCAGCTGAAAAGGTTGTTAAGGAGATTGAGGCACTCGGTAGCAAGGGATTTGCTATCAAAGCCGATGTCTCCAAGGTTCCAGAAGTCAGACGTTTGTTCGAGGAGGCTAAGGCACATTTCGGAAAGCTCAATATTGTTATGAGTAATTCGGGTACCGAAATATTTAAGGAGGAGGAAGATGTTACCGAAGAGGATTACGACAGAGTTTTCGGCCTTAACACCAGAGCTCAATTCTTTGTCGCTCAACAAGCTCTTATTCACCTCGAGGAATACGGAAGAATTGTTTTGATGTCTTCTATCGCTGCCAATATGTCCGGTGTACCAAATCATGCTTTGTACGCTGGAAGTAAGGCGGCCGTCGAAGGCTTCGTTAGATCTTTCGCCAAGGACTGTGGTAAAAAGAAGATCACATGCAACGGTATTGCTCCCGGTGGAATCAAAACCGATATGTACGAGCAGTAAGTCCTTCCAGAGCCTAGTCCCAAGAAGCAACGCTAACATAGAATAGAAATGCATGGCATTACGTCCCAGGTGGATTTGAAGGCATGGATGTAGATATTATTGATAAGGGACTTGCTTCCGTATGCTCACTTGGACGTGTCGGTGTTCCACAAGATATCGGAAGAGTTGTGTCATTCTTGGCAGGCCCTGAATCTGAATGGGTCAATGGTAAGGTCTATCATGAAAATAATCGTTCGTGTGACTAACGTTATGTAGGACAAATTCTCCAGCTCAATGGTGGTGGAAAGTAAAATAGTAATATCGCGTGGATCTGAAGTTGATGGAGTTATGCATCATGAATTGTCGGTTCTTTGCAGGAGTACCTCGTCCGGTTTATAGATGATAAAATTCTAGGGACATATAGAACGAATGAAAAATATAATAACATTGTTAAATATTGATTTGGTCCTGTAAATGATGATTGATGCAGTTCTCGTGTTTCCGTGTATGAGGGTAACTTGAATGGAATAATCTAGCCATATATGCATTCCAGATTCATTTCTGACATCACATCCACTACACACAAAATGAGTTAGTATATACTTAAGGTGAAATTGTTACAAAGATTGTGACAAAGTGAGGTAACGTACTCCAGAATACTTCTTGTCCAATATCGGCCCTTGCCCAAGTCTCTTCTATCAGTATTAACGCTTTCGTCATGGGCTTCGCAGGTAAAGACAGTTTGAACTCTTGAAAGCGAGTGATGATGAACCGACGAGCTGCCGCAATATCCACTTCAAAATTAGTGATACTATTGGAAATTGCTGCACCACCTGAGGTGGATCTATGTCTGTAACCAGGTCCCTCGAACTGGCTTGCCCCGAAAGGTGTATCGATAGAAAATGCGTTCATTGATGCTGTAGAGAATTTAAGCTCACTTGCAGCAACAATCATGACAATAGGCTGAAGACACCGAGTACCAGATGTTGACGGTATTTTCTCGAGAATAGATGTTACATGTAATGCAAGCGAAATCAAAAATTCCTCAACGGAATGCGAAACTGGCAAGGACAGTATTTCTTGAGAGTCAGGCTGTCGATTTAAATAGATTGAAGGGAATATACGATATATCTCTAGGAGAGCAGCACATCGATATGCTTCCGCTAGCAGGATGTATTGCCTTACGGGTGTATTTTCGTCACCAGCATCGACAAGTTCAGTTTCGGTTGGTAAATTTACTGCCAGTAATTTTTCTTCTAAATATCGTGCTCTGTTGGTCCACTCGATGCTAGCGAAGACAGTTGATTGAAGAGGCATAGAATTGAAATCAAAGAATGGATCACTGAGAGCAATATTTGGAATTGAATTAAATGTTGACTTTCGATAAGATCGAATCAACCTTCCAACCTGCGCGAACAATCGCTGAATCTTCGGCGCCACTCCAGTCCAGGGGTGAGGAAATATTTGGTGGTCTGTATTTGGGGCGGTGACACTTTCTACCAGCGTACTGTCCTCCTCTAGCATGGCGATGTTTTCTTCATCTTCAACAAATCCAGCCAACATATCCCAGTACAAGATACACTGCTGAAAAAACTCATTTTGTCGCCGCACTTTGTTATCTGAATTCGCACCTTGTCGTGATAGACGTTGCTTGTACAATCTCTTGGCCGTCTTCAGATGTGCTAGACCTAAATCTCGAGGATTGTGCCATGCTGTAGTTTGTCCAACCAAAAGTACAGTCAAGAGAGTCTTGTCAATATTATCATGAGATTCTACCCCAGCACTATTCGATTGATATAAACACTTAAATGTCTCTCGTTGCATTTGAGCTCCGACAACGGACATGCGTGGGAAGTCATGTGAAAGATAAGCAGCGGCCATGCTCTGAATAGCGTAGTATATCGGTGCTGAGTCGTCCCAAAGTTGGCCAACGGTAGACCGAAACGGATTAAAAATGCCATCAAATGAGGAGAATATTACACAAATATACCCAAAATAGTATTCCACAAGCATGGTTGGAAGGTGAACGAGAAACTCAGGTACAGTCGAGTTATTCAGTTGATACCGAATGGCGGAAAGACTGTCAGTGAAAGTCGGAGTGGACAATCTCCGAACCGTAGTCTCAGGGCTCTTTACAGATCCATTTTGGCTTCCTTCGCAGGATTCGGCATGTTCAATAATTGTGTTGCATTCCGTCACTCTTCTGCCAGGCATTTGGTCCACGGAAGATTTCAACCCGACCTCCAACTGCCTCTTCAGAGCTTTCGCTGAAGATGGTAGTGGTCTATCATTATTCTCAACAAGAATCTTCTCATGCTTTGTCGACCAAACTAGTCGTTGTGAAGCATAGCAACACTCTGCTTTTCTTTTGACGCATTGAAGGCAATGCGGCTTCTTCTCATCACATTTTAACTACCTTCATGTCATTATTCAAGTTATTATGTTCCTGACAAGCGAGTCTTACACGTTTGGTCTTGCATCTTTGACAACCCTGACGAGATTTCGGGGCTCGACGAGCATTGGTCACATTTTCCTGACCTACAGTTGAAGAGGATGAAGTGCCTGAAACTTCTGAAGTGGAAGAAATATCCATCGTGGTACGGAACAATCTTGCTGAGGTATAGTTGAAACTCGATTGGCATTAACCAACACTCTGCCGAAGTATTGTCAATAGCAAAATGGATTTGATTATCAAGAAAATGTAGACAAATCATTAAGGAGGAACGTGATTCAGAGTGGGGAAGGTCTGCTACAGCACACGTGACTATACTAAATCGGCCTAGTCCTGTATCTCGAATCATGTTACTTTTTAGAGGATCAATTGGTTTGAGTTTGAAAATTCCAAGGATGTCATTGAATTCAATTTCATCATTCCCAATATCGTAATACTTGCGTATCTTGCTACATGAATCACCAATACACGTCAAATTATGATTCGAATTTCGTATTCTTACTTCCAGATATCTTGGCGTTTTCCTCGATGTTCTTTCCATCAACACGGTAGATATTGCACTCGAGTAAGGTCTTCTCGATGCTATACGGCCATTTCATTTAAGCAAGAAATTCTGAGAAATGCTCAACAGTTTTCACGTGATATTTAAGGGCTCGGATATATCTAGGACTACGCAGTAAGAAGGCTGGCTCCATTGACGATGTGTGTTCTATTGTCATTCCATCCCAACTCATAACCGGTGCGAGATGGATTGGAGTTCAATATTCCCATCACTTCAAGAGTGTTTCTCTAAAGACATAGTTGTCACATTTCTGGGACTTTCAAATGGAGTTGTGGGTACATGTGGTATTTAGTTCAAACTATTTCATAGCCACGGTCATTGACTAGCACAGAAATCCCTGGTATTTGGGCCGTTGAAGAATCCTTTTCACTTCAAGGTCAATCATTGTCAACTCCATCGTTCTAGAGGTTCTATTGATGTTCCAATGTTCTGCGAAGGTCCGGGCGTTGGTCTTCATCTGTATTAAGAGCGCAAATTGCCAAAATTTGAAACATCTCACGATTCGAAACAAGTCCTAAGACAGATGAGGGTTAACTTTAGCATTGGATGATATCGGCGAGGGACCATGTTTTTGTCTCATGTGAGCTTGAGATCCTGTGTGGTTAGCTTATCGTAACCACCTTACTGGTGCTCGTCTGCCATTTTCTGCTCATGACCTTGGATGATTATGCGGCAAATCATAAAACTATCCTTTGAAGAACTGCCATGCCCCTTCTATTGATGGATAGGGCGAAACAACTGATGTAATTGTATTAAAAGGGATTAAACCCTTGGCGGTCACAACACATCAGCTCGCAATACGATTAGCAAACTTATTTATAAACTAACTGCCATTACCTCGCATCATATTTGCACCGCAAGAGGGAATCATTGCGACTGGTGAAATTTCGACGGCTTTTCAAGTCAAGGTTCAAATCTTTTGACGATCTCATCATGGTCAACACAGGAAAACCATCGAAAGGATGCTACTTATGCAGAGCGAGGCGGATCAAGGTATGTTTTCTCGCTTCGACACCTGAGCATCAAAGGTTAGAGCATTGGGTTCTAATCATTAATTCAGTGCGATGAGGGTAAGCCTTCATGCATGAGATGTCTAAAGTCAAAACGAGAATGTCCTGGTATGGTGTTGTTCCGGTACACATAAGCAATCTGTCATTAATAACAACAACAACAGGCTATCGCGATGAGTTCGAGCTCAAGCTTAGAGATCAAACCAAAGCTACCAAGCGAAAGTCTTCAACGTTTTTCGATAATGAGATTCCAACTTTCACAGTAGACTCATATAGCTATCAATTTGACCAAAGCGGAAATGGCCGACCGACGAAAAAGAGAATGAATACCTCGGACAATGGAATCATTTACAGAACTATCGATTCCATTAACGATACAACCGCAAACTCATTCTATATATCCTCGTACGCTGATTATGGTTCAACGGAGCCAAGTATGCCGATATCACCAGTCTCAGACATCGAGAATGAGCTGCCCTGGTCACCCAAAACTGTGATCCCTCGTCAATTCTCGCCCCCAATCGATCAACAAGCCACCTGCTTCTTCTTGTCTAATTTTGTTCTTCTTCCACGAGGACACACGGCCAAAGGAAATCTGGATTTCCTCATACCGCTCGTGTATGCCAGCTCAAGAGAAACGTCACTCATGCTTGCTTTAAATGCTGTAGCACTCGTGGCTTTCGCGAATCAACCAAATGCTAGAAAACTCTTACCTCTAGCTGATAAGCAATATGTGACGGCTTTAAATCAAATCAACAATGATCTACAAGATGTACATAAAGCAAAGGAAGATGCAACCTTGGCAGCGGTGTTCTTGTTGTCCTTCTATGAGGTAAAATAACTTTGGATCTGGTATTCTTTCATGCAAAATGCTTACTCTCAGACTAGCAAATAAGCTCTCATTCCATGTCCCTAAGCGGGTGGGAGTCTCATATCAATGGAGCTGTAGCACTAGTGAAAGATCGAGGCAAAAACCAGCTCGATACAAAGATCGGACGCTCATTATTTGACGCAGTCAGAACACATATGGTAATTCTTTGATGTTATCAACGAATGAGATGAAGCTAATTCTTTGTAGACTGTCGAGTGTATCAGCCGTTCGAAGGATGTTCAAGAAGGCATTGACTGGTGGACATCTTTTGCATCAGAGGATAAAGTACAACATGACGTATCAGTGCTCAATCTCAAGGTTGCAGACTTACGCGCAGAAACCCACAGGATCTGCACTCTTGATGGACATAGTACAGAAAATATTGAGAAGGTACTCAACCACATGAAGAAAGCAGAACGGATCGAAAAAGAATACGTCGACTGGTATTCCAGTCTTCCTGAAGAATGGACACCCAACGTGGCGGCTTGGGTTGATGATACAGCGGAGAAAGACCTAGAATTTACAACTTGTTACCCAGGAAGAGTTGATGTATACAGTGAGCTGTGGATGGCCACTACACATAATATTGTACGCGCCTCGAGATTATTCATCCTAACCACTATTTTACGATGCACTGCATGGATCACTGCCGACCTCGATTACAAACTCACACCCGAATACGTGAAAGTTTCGCGAAAAGCAAGTTTACTGATTGAAGACATCGTGTCTAGCATTCCATTTTTCTTCGGCTGGAAAGCACCACATACCGAATTTCCCATATCCGAGAACTTATATTTCCCTTGTGGAAACGATAGCGAAATAAGTGGCAAGGGCGTAACGGGCGTATGGGCTATATGGCCAGTGTTTGCAGCGGCGGCATCTGATTTCGCGACTAGTTCTCAACGATTATGGCTAAGAGGACGACTGAAATATATTGCGGAACATTTGGGAATCCGTCAAGCAGAGATGTTACTCCAGGTATGTCGGCCTCTTTCCTTTGTAATTAATATATTAATAATTTTCGGCAGTTGCCAACTCGCTATCCCTCAACTTTCATATACAGAGATAAGGTCAAGATTGAAGATCTGAAAAGGACCAAGATGGTCAGTATGGTTGGAGGAAACTATTCATCAATGTGCGGAACTCCTGCGATTGGTACATAATTTTGGATTCCCTCTGTATCAATAATTGTACACTACAATTTCTTTCTCTCTTATTTATTACAACTTTACAATATAATTTCCTTTACTTGAAATGAAGTAAGAATGTCCCATTGACATATCAATACATATCAATTTGCTGCACCAATTGAATCGGCTGAGTTCCCGCCAAAAATTGAAACAAAGCGGATAATGACAGGAGCGGTAGATTATCCGACCCGATCAGCTATCCGACAGAAACACGTCCATTTGTGGTACACCTTGCTGTCCTTGTGCAAAATGCAACGATAGGTACTGGCTTCATCGTATATTTCCCCTTTCATTCCTTCAACGTACCAGGATGGTAAACGGAGACATGGAATCCTGTGCCGTGCAGGGTAGAGCATTCTACCCCAACGGACGTCCGATATGTTTACATTGAACCAACAAGTCCGTAAATTGGGAATGGAAGTAAGCATGAGAGTGACACCCTATCTAGTATTCGTGAATGACTCGCGAGAAGTGATAATGCGTGGAAATGTATTCTTGTCAGACAAGTGTCATTGCATACTGGGCGGAGGGACGCTGTAGCAAATAAGGTACTGTTATCACGTGTTCATAGATTTCAAACATCAAATATAATGAGAAAACGAGTCTTATTGAATTGTCATTTCGGCACAGTCAAGCAATCAAACTACGAGTACATCGTGGTGGATTTCTAATGAAGATATCCTCTCAAATCACGTGCGGTATCTCCCCGACGTGTGGGCCGCCTCTATCCGCATGAAGCTATAGATGGGTATAGAAAGAACTCCCATTCAGCACAAAATAAACAACCCATTTCCAACAAAAAGAAACATCCCCAAAATTAATTGCATCGAATCCAAAACTCCATCTCCATTATGCCCTTCATCACTCTCAACCAAAAATCAATCTTCTACACCCTAACCCCGCAAACTGGAAATCTCCAAAACCCGGTAACCACACTCTTCATCCACGGGCTGGGTTCCTCGTCTACATTTTACCATACGGTTATTCCCTCCCTCTCTGGCGTCTCAACGTGCATTGCTCTCGACACGCCCGGATCCGGTTTATCTTCTCTAAGCGATTCGAATTCGCCACAAACTGTAGCGTCGATTGTCGATGATGCAATTGCACTTCTCGATGCACTTTCCGAAACAGCGGTTAAGGGAAAAGTCTGGGTGGTGGGCCACTCAATGGGTGGGATTATTGCGTGTGAACTTGCTGTTCGATACGCACAAAGAGTTGAAGGGTTGGTTTTGATAGGACCTGTGGTGCCAAGTCCAGTTTTAACGGAGGTTTTTGGGAAGAGGATTGAAACGGTCAGGAAAGGTATGAGCATTTCTTTGTTTTAGAATTGGGGTTAGGTCGGGTTACTAATTATGATAGATGGACTTGAACCGCTGGCCAATTCGATACCAGAGGCTGCAACAGGTACTCAAGCTACGTCTACCCAGAAAGCTTTTATTAGGAGTTTGATTCTCGGGACTAGTACCCAGGGCTACATGTCATCATGTGGAGTTATTGCTTCGGCTAGTAGACCTGATTATGCTAAAATCGACGTACCGATGATGATTCTCGCTGGTAGTGAAGATAAGACGGCTTCTTATGAGGGGTGTAAAATGATTCATGATGAAGCGGGTGTGAGTGCACAGAAGAAATGTGTTAGGGTTCTTCCAGGGGTGGGCCATTGGCATGCTATTGAGGCGCCGGAATCTGTGGCAAAGGAGGTTAAGGAATTTGTTGATAGTATCAATAATTAAGTGTAGTTAAATAAGACAGGGAAACAAGAATGGTGTTCCTAGCACGTTTTGTTCAGTTTGGTTTGATATTTTGTGATTTGTCTTTTGTCATGTGTCATTGCGTAGAACAGTATGATTAGGCTGGTTGCAGAGCCAGGATTAGGGAAACTTTGTTGCATTTTTCTCATTTGCCATTGTACTGGCTGGATGCTGCAGTAGATCTGAACATGAGACTTATTGTGATGGAGAATGACGGCGAGTTTCTAGACACTTAGCCACGAAACCATAATTTTATTACCTTCTACAGTTTCATCTATTCATGATGGTCAAACCTACCAATATTCGCTCACATTTCTAAGAGGGTTTGACAGTAAATTAGTGCATTCCCTGTGCTCGATGAATCTACTCGATGCATTGCTTGGGATGGCGTAAATGTCAAACTTGAAGTGGATGACCCCGTCAAGTTCTATCTCAGTTTTCAATCTCGGTGCATTCCCAAGATCAAGTTTCACTTGATAGATCTCAAATAATGTCTGAGAGTTATCATCGATGTCCGGATAGATAAGTGGCGACAGTAATGAGGTTGGCTAGTCGCTGATGAATAATGTCTGAGGGTTATCATTGGGGTCAAGATAGCTAAGTGGCACCAGTGTTGGGATTGGTTGATCGCATGTTTGTTTCAAGTGTTGCGAGGAAGGGTCAGAACTTGGAAGACTTGGATGTTAAAGTTCTAGAAGTGGACAATCGTACAATAGTAGCTAGGAAGGATAGGACGTCACTTGGGAATCTAGGACTAGCATTGGGGAGGTGAAATTTCTGGTGCTTTCGGGCAGCTATCTCCGACGCTTTGAAGGACATCTGTTTATGGGTCTTTGAGGTTTTCCTTGTTGAATATTTGCGATCCAAGTAGATTGTGTATAGATTCCAATCTTGTTATTATGAAGTGGTTTTCGAGCGAAGTATTTCTCACAGCTGCATTTTGAACATCAAGTCACAAGCTCTCATAGGCAAAGTTGCAGATTATAATCATAAGCCTGTATAATAAAACTAAAATTACAATTGAAATCGGTCCCGCCGTTATTTTTAGAATATTTAAACCACACCTACTATGTGCAAACCATACACATTCTACCGAGAGAATTCTCACATAAACTCCTCAAAATTAGACCCTACACCTCCTGACTTTTCCGCCCACGAAGTAGCACGCGGAGGTTTCCTAGGCATTCCATCCTCAGGTCCCCCAACCCTAAAAGCATATAACACAACATCCTCACTTGGACTCTCAACCTGCGTTCCGAATATCTCTCCCCTAGTACTCATACTTAAATCCGCAATTGCTGCAGATACCTTCTCAGCTGAAGATACAGGAATATTGGTGTCCAATCCTATCACAACATTCCCGTACAATTTTTCATAAAGACTTGAGCGTGGGCGTAATTTTCCCTCATCAGTAGATCCATCAACGAGCTTCTCTTCATCATCCTCAGATTTTACGGTATATGATCCTGCGCTTCCTTGAGCAGTAGGACCACCTGTTCCATTCGGAACCCAGAATCTCAAATCCACGCGTAAAAATAAATATCCATACACAACTATGATCTCAAGCATGAATCCGGTAGTATAGAAAACAGGTTTGCTAAAAAGATGACTAGGTGCACTGATTGGTTTCTCAATCACAGCTCCTAGAAGACGTGTGATTGCCCCAGTGACTAGAAGTGCTGTAGCAAGCATCAGAATTATCGGCTTCATTCTAAATCTGCCGGCGCCGAATTTCTCAACGGGGGTAGAAGATGGAATTGCTGTAGCAAGAGTGACGAAGATGGCTGGGAAGAGGGAAAGAAAAAGTGTCCAACATGAACCGAATAAGAGGAGATTTTTCGTCGTTTCAAGAGAGCGAGGATTGAGAGTAAAAAAACTGATAGTGAGAGAGATGATGTTCCAAAATATGATAAAGGGGACGGATATTAAAATGGCGAGGAAAGCTTTCGAGACGATGGGATTCCAGCCGATATTTGGATGGGTAGCGCGGAGAATTCGTTGGGTGAAAATTACGTTTACGGCGAAGAGAACGACAACTCTGGTTGTTCGTCAGTACTGAGATTCCATGGTTTATTTGGAAATGATGTGATTACATACCCAGCGTTTTCGAAAATCAAAGCTGCAACAACGATACTATTATTCTCCGGACAGAACGCCCAAACAATTCTCATGATACAAGTCACCTACTCGTAAGTCAGCATTCAATTTACCTGATGCCCTTTGGGCCATGTTAAGATTTCAAAACTTACATTTCTAACCATACAGAAATCAAAAATCATATCTGAGATAACAAACTTATGTCCCCTCTTAGAGTTAATTTCATGTCTGATGAAATGTGATGCCGCTCCCACAATAAACAAAATCAGAAACACAACTGTAATCGGTACATCGACATTTTTATTCGGGATTCCTCCAAGAATTGCTGCGACGGGTGAGAAAGGTCCGACTTTTGGTTGGGTAATTGTAGGTATTGTAGGATCTAGTTGTGCGCCTTGCAGGGCTGGAGATTCGGCAGGTGGTTTGTCTTCAGAGGGTGGATTTGGCCCTGCTTGTTTGGCTGTTCCTGTTGTTCCTTTATCTGTGCTGGTACTGGAAGTGGAGGGCTCGCTTGGTACCGTCGAGGAAGCTATTTGTGATTGTGTGGTGACGGTTTCTGTTGTGGTTATCTCTATCGTTGTCGTTGCTTGAGGCTCAACTGTAGCTGGAGCAGCAGCCTGTGTTGTGGTGATCTCTATTGTTACTGTTCCTTGCGGTTGAGCGGCAGCTGGAGCAGCGGCTTGTGTAATTGCCGACATTATCTGCTCTGTAGAAACCGATATTAAAGATGTCGACTGTGTGAATGCTCCATTAGGGGATGTAGGGGAGACGGCTGGTATGGGCGACGCGATCGCACTCATGGTCATTTGCCGCGAGGAAGAAAGTCTTGCCGTAGACTGAGCCATCGTTGCTAGCGACGGCGCCATTGTAGCTTGTTGTGATTGACTGTTCCCCATGTTGACTGTATATTAGATGCACCTTGAAATCACTATAGAAATGAAAGAAAATAAGATTTGTATGATAATGTATTATTTTGACAGATGTCAACGTTTTACATGAACTTGGCTGTCTGATTATATCAATGTGGAAACTGTGCCATTCCATTCGTCACCGCATCGGTGCTTCTCTTCACACCTCTCTCACAACTGGAGTCCGGATCCCATTCAAATTGTTTCCCGAGTACAAGAAACATCCGTGAAATGCTCGCATCCCCAGGTATCACAATGACAAGTCCTTCACCATTGACCTAGATTCAACATACTTCAAGGATGACCTCGAAGTTTTCAAAAGGGATAGGTCGACAATTCCTCGCTAGAAGAAGCCCTGGTCTTTGATACCCCTCGCAACTCCGCGTTTCAAAAAGAATGACTAAGATACCTCGCAACCTCTTACATTGACAGGTTTGGCAAGTCAGTGAATGAACATGAACCAGGACGTGGTCTGCCATGATATAAGTTCCTTACTTGACATCTGTCAGTTCGTGAGAAAGACATTCATGGTGTCAATTGGTGGCAAATCCACCATCTATCAACTCCGAGTCCGGGATCAATAGCACATTGAATATTCGTTTGGAACTCCAGTTTATTTGAGCCCGTGAAACAGTGGCCTTGCAAGTTAATTACATGAACTTGTTTCCTCCTCCATGTTTTTCGGCCGAAAAATGGAACTTTGTGAATCACAATACCGATACATAATGGTCTGCAGTCTTCCCTTGGCAGATTCTTTGTAGCTATAACAATAAGGCGGGATTTGTTTTTTTACGATTGGAAGAAGTCACTTCAAGCAAACGGGATTGTCCCTCGCGATTGAGAGATTAATAGGTTATGAATTCACATTGCTGCTCACTTCCAAGGAGTCCATGCCATCGAACTAAATTCGAACGTAGCTTTCTTCACAAGAACAATTCTTTGAGGTTAAAAATTGACTTAACAAAAGCCTCAATCTTTCCCCAGAATAAAATTCAATCCTTCTAGAAAAAAGAACTAATCGTATTGAATTGCCACTTCGATCATACAAAATACGAGGCTCAAGCCACAGAAAAATAAATGCTTTCGCCGATTATTACTCAGTCATGTCCGAGGGTCGGAATTTCGTTTCAAAACTTCGTATGCAATTTCCGTCACCACCCAAACGAGAATTACGACCCAAGACTGCGCTTGGATGTTTCCTAAAATGGAAAGATAATTCTTCCGAAATGTCTGCAAAAAGAATTCCACACAGAGGATAGAAACGGGAATGTAAGCAAGGGTCTCGCTGACATATATACGCAAGATGTTAACGAGAAGCTATATCCTCTTGAACAAATGCCCAAAGCATAGGGTATTTATATCTGCTGTCTTTCAATCAGGCTGTTGAGGCTGTGTAGAAATTTTCCTGTGCTGAAGGAAAACATGGAACAATCCCTTACGAATATCGATCAAGTCCGTGCCGAAATTTACAGCGTTTTCGATAATGAAGTTCGAATGCGAGCAATAATTACGGCGGCTGAATACACCGAGAAAGCTTTCTCAGACATTTATGTAAGATTGGCATATTATCGTAGTGAACTTGCTCTCAGGCAGAATTGATGAATCATACGTCTGCTAGTATAGTATCTGATGCTAAAGGTGCCTTTAGAGCTTCCATTCCATGGTAATGTCAAATTCACGTGCAGTTAGGTCTTATATTATGATGCTTGTCTCGAGTGTTCCATGCATACAGGTCAATTCTTGCGTGTTTATCATCAAGATCCTCGAAGTTGTACATAAAGACTTATGCGTGCAAACCACAATTTCAGCCTCACCTGTGTCAAGATATGACACGTAAGTATGCCAATCAACTCTCGCTACACCTGGGTTGAAATGACACATAAGCATGCCAATCACAATTCTAGCTTCACCTATATCGATTTGACATATTGGGAGCTTGTATATTACTGCACTAGCGATCACATTCACCTACTTGACTTTGATGAACTATCACATACTAGGAAACATTTCTCCCGAGCTTTCTGTCTGTTTGCAATATCATATGAAATTCATCATTATGAGATGGTTATCAACTGTGCAAGAGCGGCTTTTTTAAGAACATACAGCTGTCGCATAATGCATTTCTTGGGAATTTTCTGTCTGTTCGCAGAATCATAGTATGCTAATTACGATGAGATGATCTTCGGAAGTGGCTTTGCTCTGAACTTGCAGCCTATTGTAGGATAAATTCTTCCGCAAATCTCTGTAAATTTGGAATATCAAAATAAACTCTTATTATGATAAGATGGCTTTCCCATGGACTCTGACTTTGAGCCGTGTTTGACAGCGTGTGCCTGCAGCCATCATGAATGCATGAATACATCAATGGTTCACGCCAATATTTTGGACTCTCAATCTTGGTCCTTGAGAACTCGATTGTCGGTAAACCAGTGAAGATAGAATTCGTACATGCAATCATGTGCACAGTAGAAAGTCGGCCTTATTCAGCACTGAAAAGGTGATGCAAGCAGGTTCACAGAAAAGTAAATTGTGCATTAGTCTGTGTGTGAGATTCATGATCTCACCTCGATCAATTTGGTCGTTACTCAGATCAACGGGAAAGTTTTATGAGGATGGCTGGATTGTCGGTTGTTGATTATCAGCCTAGTACCCAACTAGTGCGGCTGTCAGAGCAGTCTCGCATAGTTCGGATACCATCGTATGCATAGCGTGAATCTTACCGAAACCCTATCTAGCCTGGAAAATATATATTCCTATTACCGGCAGAACCGTGGTTTCCAAGCTACCTCTTGTGAACAATCGAGTCATCATTGGTTATGGATTTGACTCAAAGTTTAGCTAGGAGTTACACTTTTAACCAATAAGAAGAAGGCTGCGCGGGAGAGCGGTAGATTAGGCAGCATAAGAATGTAAAGTTCGTAAATCAGTCCGTCATCAATCCATCTGGTCGAGAACGCTCTCAAATGACATGTATGGAACCGATCAACTATACCGATCAACCACCAGTCACTTATCCTGGGTCCGATATTGACGTGTTGCTCACCGGTAATCTGAGTCCCGCCGTCTCCGGGAGTTTTTCACCATTAGATTTTTGACACGCGAGTGCAATTTTGCTCGCATGCTAACAAAAATCATTGGAGTCCGATCTTTGCGGCGGAAGTCTGCCTTTAGCGTAACCCGCTAATTGATAAAGTGACGGTGGGACCCTAGACTGGTCACTGAGTTTCGCTTCCTCTGTTTTTGGCCTTACTCCTTGTACATTCGCATCCTAATCATGGTTGCCAAGTTTGGAGATCTGCGTAGTTCAAGCCAAATCTTAAACTCTTCGGACCAGCCCTAAGGCTCATTTGAGAAAGGATTTTCGGCTGAGGTTTTAACTAAATCAAGGCAAGTAAAAACTCATAAACAAATCTGTAGAACGTTGCATGTGGCTTTGAAACAATCAATCACCTACAGGTTATGCCGCCTGGGCACCTAGAGAGTGCCGCGATACTTTTTCTTCGTAGTGTCCTCGTAAACTCACCTGTCCCAGTACAGGGTCAATTCCAGCCCCCAAATTGAAATAAATTAACCATCACGAAGATAGCCCACAGAAATTTGATGTGGCGAAGCAAATTGATTAATTCATTCGTCAAGCGGTATCTTCTAAATTGAAAAAATATTATCGGTCGTCGAAAATTTATTTGTTTCGTATTGCGAAAAGAGTCAAAACATGCCGTTTTTGGGGGTGGGGGTTTCAAAAATTAATGAGAAATATTTGACACAACTCGCAACACTTAGCATCATGCAACCTCATCATAATACCTGCAGCGATTTGTGGAACTGAGAGCTTGCCTTATCGACTTATCGAACAGAAGCTGTACTGAACAAATTCCCCGTAACATCACATGCCAGTACCCATTCTTCGGAAACCGTTCAATTCCTGATACAAGACTAACTGTCAAATACACATCGTATTTATTTGTAGCCATGTTTAAAATGAAAGGGTTGCTTTGCCTGAGCAATGTCCAAACACCGATCACTCGATAGACGATGACAAACTCGGGACCGATAACAATTCTTTTGCTGAGAATAGATGATTGCGGTGATGACCTAATTACTCGGTGCTCTCATATTCAAGCGGTCTATTTTAAAAAGTAAATTTAAGAGGCTTAACAAGACCCATTGGTTCCACGCATCTGGGAACTAAAGATTTATCGTGAAAGACATTCTGTTTCTGTTCGCGAACCAATGAGCGTATGCAGTGCAAATCCAGAAAAAGAAATCTCAAAGCTTATCTTCCTTAATCCTAGTTGATCTGCATGGCCTGCCGGGACATTAGCGCAATAAACATGAGCAAACCTCTAAAGAAGAAACGAAACTATGATTAGGTACTCGAGTAGTGACAACTTAGACTACTTAGCACTGCACTGTAATCGGTGGTACCAAAGCGTCAGAATTGTCCGCCTTTTCCAGAACGGGGATCCGTGCAGGGGTAACTCTGCCAAATCATCTCTTATGCTATGATCGACGTTTAGCGGAACAAGGGAATGTCAATAGCTGGAATTAATTCACAACTGCATCGAATCGATTGTCCCATTAGCATGCAAGAAGTATGCAGTTGTAAGTGTATGGTACTGTTACACAGTATTTGCTCAGTCGAGCAGAATCGAGAATGACACTTGCAGCTCTTTGATAAGATACGTACCTAATCAATCCCCACTTCTTTACAACGTTTAAGCCTCTTCAAGAATGAGCTAGCGTAATCATGGTACCTAGCAAGGTTTGTCAGTGCAAACATCAGTCTCTCTCAATGCTTCTCGCAAGCAATCCAAGGGCGTCGAAGTTCGACCACACTTTTCCGTGTTTCAAGTCATCTTTCGATAGTCTCATGTATACCTGACTTTTGCCCGGCACGTCAATTTAGGATCGAGATTCTGATCGCCAATAATAGTACCTCTTTTGATTACGAGGAGTTAGCGTCACTGAAGAGCTTGAGCGCCCAGAATCTTACTGTAATATTCCCAAAGAGTTGACGGGGTTGGTGCACTATCGTGAACTTCTACCATGTGGATAAGGTAGGTGCAGTTGAAACAAGATGTAGGGTTAAAAATACACGGCTTCCGAAAAAGTATCTATGACCAAGTGAAGATCTCAACTTGTATATATGTATACTGTCAGGTACTCGTGAAATTAGACATCGCACTTTCGTTATCCTGACTTTCTACCCAGCATTCGTTCTTCGTTCCAATCTATTAATCTTTTCCAATACTTCAACGACTCCAAGCACTCCATAGTAATAGCGCGGGTCGCATAATTTTTTCAAGATGGATGTTATATTATTTGGAGATCAAACTGCAGACTGCCAGTCATTCCTCAAGAAAGCACTTCGTCGCAAGAACTGTCCTATCCTAAGCACCTTTTTAGAACAGGCCCATGCCGCCCTTCAAGATGAACTTTCATCACTTCCATCGACTGCCCGACAACATGTTGCTGTTTTCTCAAGTGTTTCCGAGTTTACTGAGCGATATTTTGAGGCCGACCACCCGGACTTGGCAGTCGAAAGCGCCATTACTTGCTTGGCTCAATTGACACATTTTATTGGGTATGTATAGAGTTTTTTTTAGATGCAATTGACCAAGAATACTTGAGCTGACCTGTCTTTCCTAGATTCTTCGAGGAGAACCCACTTGCATACTTGGAGCCCTCTAGCACCGAAGTACTTGCAGTGTGCACTGGGCTACTTGCCGCATCCGCAGTTGCATCATGCAAATCGCTTACATCTCTTATTCCCCTAGCTGTGCAAGCAGTACGCATTGCCTTCAGGCTGGGATCAAGAGTTGCAGCGGTTGGAAATCAATTGGAAACCGCGAGCGATAGACAAAAGACCTGGTCAACAATCGTAATGGGCACAAACCCAGAGGCAGCAGAGCATGCTTTGGCGGAGTTTAATGAGTCACGGGGACTTGTTCAATCAACGAGATTGTACATCAGTGCCATTGGTACCACCTCGATCACAATCAGTGGAACACCTACCCTCCGAGCTCAGTTTTTTGAAAACTGTGAGGCATTCCAAAATCTTCAACGACGCGAAATCAGCATTAGAGGGCCATATCATGCTGCCCACCTTTATAATCCACAAGACATTGAGAGAATTTTGTCACCATCAATTGTGGAAAGCTTGAGCAGCTATTCATCAGTCTTGCCACTTGTTGGAACCCCTGCACACAAGGAAAGTATACCAACAGTCGACCTGTTCAGAAACTCCATCATGGAAATTTTGGCCGAGCAGGTGAAATGGGACCGATTGGTGAAACTGGCTGTTGCAGACGTTCGAGAGTCTGAACAAACCGAAGTCAGAGTTCTTGCCATGGGACCAACCGCTCTCGGAAACAGTCTCGTCTCGGGACTCAAGAATGCCGGTAGCTTCAAACTCTCGATGGAAGACCACATTTCTTACTCCATGCAAAACACCATTCCAAGAGGAATGGTTGGCAGGATGTCCGAGTCCAAGATTGCCATCGTCGGAATGTCAGGTCGATTCCCCAATTCGGCTGACCATGAAGCATTCTGGGCACTCCTCGAACAGGGTCTCGACGTCCATAGAGAAATTCCCGCCAACCGATTCGATGCCAAATTACACTGTGACCCCTCCGGAAAAGGAAAGAATAAGACCCATTCTCCATTTGGTTGTTTCATCGACGAGCCCGGAAACTTCGACCCTCGATTCTTCAACATGTCACCACGAGAAGCTATGCAAACCGATCCAATGCAGAGATTGGCCATCTCCACTGCCTATGAGGCAATGGAGATGTCTGGATTCGTCAGAGATAGAACACCTTCCACCCAAGCACATAGAATTGGTACCTTCTATGGTCAAACTTCTGACGATTGGCGTGAGATCAACGCCGCTCAAGACATTGACACATATTATATCACCGGTGGTGTTCGAGCTTTTGGACCTGGTAGAATTAACTACCACTTCGGCTTCAGTGGTCCATCATACAGCGTGGACACTGCATGCTCGAGTAGTATGGCGGCTGTAAATTTGGCAGTCACTTCCTTACGTGCTGGTGACTGCGATACAGTATTCGCTGGTGGTATGAATGTCATGACGAATCCAGACATATTCTCTGGTTTGTCGAAGGGTCAATTCTTGTCAAAGACTGGGTCTTGTA